AGTTGACCTTAGTGCAGACTCAGTGACGGAGGAGGACACTGTTAATGTCCAGCAACAGAACCCAGAACTTGACAGCCAAGAAGAAGACTTCGACTCCATTTTTGTGGACATAGTGGGGTCAATCCCAGAGTACTACAAGCATGAAATAGCCCCTACCCATGAGAAAATCCAACAGCTGAAAGAAGCAGTCGACTATTGGATTGAAAAGGCAGATACTCGAAGGGATATGATGCAGACTGCTATAGAATCCTGCATAAAGAAAAATTCATTCATTCAACAAATATGGACTGAAAAAGAAGAGTTGGAGCAACAAATTGAAATACTGAAAAAGCAGCTTGAGCAAGAGAAAAAAGAAGGTGCAAAATTACAAGGGGAACTTCATGCACTCAAATAAAATAGGAGACAGCTACAGGAACAACATGAACTACTTGAAGGGGAAAAGTTGTCCTGCATTGAGAGCATGAAAGAAAAAGACACTGTTATTGCCTCTTTGCAACATGTGATGGGAAAAAAAATCAAACAAGGTGAACAAGGAGAAATTCCGATGAAAGAACAAGCTGATAAGGAGAAAAAAGATGAGAGAATAGCAGAAGAAAGTGAATTGGAGATGCAAGAATCTCCTAATGATGAAGATGAGAACGCCGATGGAAAAACTCCTGAAAAGTTAGTTATCATGCAAGCAAAAGAAGTAGGAACACGGCAGTTGCGTTCTGGCATCAAAATAATCAAAGACAGAAAAGACAGAAAGCCTGCAAAGAAACCAGATTACGCATACCCCAAAACACATAAGAAAGGCCGAAAAAGAGCAAGCCAAAGCGAAGATGAAGCAGCCAACAAAAAAAAGGAGGACAAAGATACATACCTTCAGTTGCACATGTATGAGGTCTACAACAGGCTGGATGAAATATCAAAGAAGAAGTTGGAAAATTACTGGAAATCTGCATCTGATTCTGATGAGTAAGCCAATCTGTCACAGAATTACACTGTTAATACTATGCCTTAGAACTGTCATAGAATTACACTGTTAATACTATGTCATAGAACTGTCTTGTTATTAAACTATTATGAGATTATCATTTTTAAACAACATTATTGTCGCAGGGACGCTTTTTACCTACAAAATAGGACAATATTGTACAAACATAACATTGAAAAGCTGATGGGAGATGGTCCAATTTCTGCACTAATCATCGATGCTTATGGAGAGGCACTTAATGATGATGCGAAGCAGAACCCTCAGAAACAGAAAAATGCATATTTGTCCGCCAATAACTATGTAAGATCACATCTAATACATCAATTTTATATCATCAACATGCTCACTAATCACCAACACATGACTTTTGCAGATGTTTTTGCGAGGTGCCTCACACAAGCTGACATATCATGCTTTCTATATGCCACTCCTAGAAAATATTGGAAGAGTTGATAGAGTGTTCATACCAATTACAGATGAGAACCACCATACGCTGCTTGTCTTTGACACCGGTGCAGCAAAATGGACACACTTCAACTCATTCAGGGGGACATCAGAACAAACTCTCCAATATTATCACAAGAAGGCAATTGTTTTGGTAAGTAAGACTGGTGATTAACACTGTTAATATATAGGACACTAAATTTAAAGGAAACGAAGCACGTACTTGACTATGATGCAGGTTGAGACAGCAAATATATTCCTCTGTCTTCTTAAGGAATGTGCTGCAGTATCGCTGAAAACAAAACTCGTCCAAATTCCTGATTTTAAGCTCCGCTATCTAGATACCACACATCATCCATACTATCTCCATGACATGCGAGCAATAAAGTTTCATTGGACTCTCCATCACCAACCTTGCTTTCATGCATAAACCCAGCTGCCCCATTTTGTTTTTCATCTTCTTGCTTGAATCGACACTCTCTCATTATGTGCCCAGGCTTGTCACAATAATAGCACTTGAAATAACCACATCCTCTTCCTATTTGAAAGCCATTTTCTCTTCCCCTATATGATGATGAAGAACTGGAATTTTTCTCACCATCACTAGAATTGTTTGATGACCCTCTTCCACTTTGAAAATTAGAATTTCTTCCTCTTCCTCTTCCGCCTCTACCACCTCGACTGCGACACAACCGTGACCGTAGCTTTGACTAGAACCAGTAGCTTGATTTCGATTGCCTTCCATAGTTGTAATTTGAGTCTTTAGAGCTTGATCCGATTGTGTGGGAGGAGGATTCCTCAAATTTATTTTGATTTCATGGGCCTCCAATTTTCCTTGCAAATCTTCTATGGAAAGAGCATAAATGTCATTTGACTCTTCAATGGCAGCCACAACATAATCAAATTTCGGTGGTAAACTACGAAGGACTTTTTCAACAATTCTTGCATCTTCCAAAATCTCTCCATTTGACGACATTAGGTTAACAATTGTTGTAACCTTTGTGAAATACTTTTCAATGTTTTTACTTTCTTGCATCTCCAACTTCTCAAATTCTCTCCTCAAATTTTGGAGTCGAACCTTCTTCACACTTTGTTTGCCTTGATAGGTAGTCTGAATCTTTTCCCATGCTTCCTTTGCATTTTCAGCTTTGGAAATTCTCTCATATACTGACATCTCAATTGTTTGATAGATGTGGAAAAGGGCCTTACTATCCTTCTTTTGATTTTCCTTCAATGCATTTCTTTGTGCTTGAGTGAGTGCAAGTTCATTTTCAGGTTCCTCAAAGCCGTTTCAACCATATTCCACAACTCCATGGATTTTAACAACACCTTCATATTGTTGCTCCAATAATCATAGTTGTCACTGTTGAATCGAGGAATAAGTGAAGCCAAATTGTGTCCGTTGCTTGAATTTGCATTTGCCATTCAACTAGGCTCTGATGCCAATTTGAAGGAGGAAGAGAAAATAAAACAAAATAAATGGACACTAGTTTCTTTGAAGAATAGGCTCTTTCATATAATTCAGCACACTCTACAAATAACAATGATAAAGGACCTATATAAAGACTTCTCTTATCATAACTGATTAACCCACTCTTATATCTTAGACTCTTCATCAACCCACTAACTCATAAAACTCACAATTTATTCAATTCATTAATACATGAAATCATTAAATCATAGAATAAGAAAAGACTCAACATAATGAAACTTCTTGAATGCAATAATGATGCATGTTTGGTTTAATTCTCCAACAGTGATGACACAAACAATTTTGCACTATAATAACACCATTGGTGCCATTTTGCCTTGTAATTACACCAATATAGTTGCTCATACAACTCCAAATTTGCTGATCTACATGAATGCAATAAAATTTAGTGTCTCCCATAGCATGTTTCATTTGCACTGTAATATTTTGTGGTGAAGTTATAAGTGGAGTTGACATAGTATGGTTTATGGCTAAGAACTTCTTATGGTTCTTCTTTTCGTCTTTGTGATGATGAATGATGCTTCTATGAAATTTGAAGGTACTTAATAGAACCTAATTAAGGAACCGCGTGTTGTGCAGTCTCATTCTTGTTTTTATGAAATGACTTAAGGGCCTGTTTGAACCAATCAGAAGGGTTTGATTCGATTCTTACATTGAAAAGGTTTAATTTTAGCTAAAGTAGAACCAAATAGCACTTAGTCTAGTTTGGTTCGGTTCGGTTCGTTTGGCTATATTAATTATACTATTCTTTTACACTTGACATTTTCTTTTTAGTTATTACTATTTACTATTATGTTGCATTACCCATATCAAGATGAAGATTAACCAATTTGGCTCCTAGAAAGTGAACAAACAAAGAAACAGAGAAACAAAACATGTCTGTAAATAGAAAAACGCGCCTTAGGAGTCGCAGCAAAAAATAAGGGGACGTGGTGAAACCAAACCCAACAACCACCAAAAAAGAAAGATGAAAATTAAAAAGGGAAAAAAAATTAAAACAAAAAAAAAGAGGGAAGGAGGGGAGAAGGGGAGGAGGGGGATCAAAATCGAATAGAGAAGGAGCAAAGGTTGGGGCGCTGCAGATTGGGGGTGGTTGAAAGTTAAAAGCATTCCCATTTAATATCCAAAAGAGTGGGAGAAGACATCATTTCACAGGTTTTAAACACAATTGGGTGACAAACTGTTTGTCTCTCACGCTCCCCCCTTCTGTTCGTCTCCCTGAATGCCTTGCCAGTGTTCAGGGTATGCTTCTTTATTTCATGCTCCTTTATTTATTTAATTACTAACGGTGGGTGGAATTTGTAGGTTTCCGGGAGTTTGTGTATGAGTTTATAAATGTCCAACAAATTGTGTATGGAATTCAAAACTGCTTAATAGTTTAGGGGGCTTTATGTAGTTAACCCATGTTTTTAATTTTCTCATATTTGACTCACATTCATATAGTAAAATGTAGTTGCGCCTGTAACCCTGACTTGCATTTGCCCTATGTTCCAGACTATCGTGGCGATTTATATGTGGAGGAGCGAGGGAAAAATAGGTTGGTGTTTTTAGTTTTTTGATACAAGCGACTTTAGGGTTATGGTAACCATTTGAACCACCAGTCCCTTATTCCTTAACAAACAAGAAACAATATTTGCTTTTCCATTGCTTGTCCTGATTTCTGGGTGATAATGATATGAATGATGAAAATATGCAGGTTGTGATGGATTTATGCGAAATGGAGAGAAGTTGGGGTGTGTCTTTGGTCATTCACGAATTATGGGATTAGTTAGTTGAATCCAGCGTATGATCATATTCGCCACCTGTATGCCACTCTCTGGTCAGATACATCATTTAATCATTTCATTCCAAAACTTTTATGCTTCTTTTGACATCATTTTATTTCAATTTCAACAATTTCAGTTCTATTCTATAGACGATTGGGGGATTGGGGAATTGAATGTAGAAGCCTCGAGTGCATGGATAGATGCTCTTAATCATTTAAGCTACAAGTCCCTTACATGTAATGATTACTTTTGAGTACGGTTATTTTAACCCCGATGTCCCATTTTCCCGCTCACATTTTAGTGAAAAATTTAATGACAATTTTACCCTTATACAAGGCAAGATATGAGTCCATCTACCTTCTCTTAATCGTCTCTATAATTGCACCACAAATATTGACACTCAAGTTGCAAACCCGTTGGCTTTTTCATATAGGAAGATCCACCCTTGATTATAGTTCCAAGACGCAGTGCTTTCACGTCAACTACATGATAGCTAGGCCAAAATTTACAATGATTATTATCTACTTCTTTTATCAAGCAGTAATTTATCTATTTAATGAAGCAGATCTGCACCAATGGCTTGAATATCATCTGACAGATTTAGTTATGAAAGGCTGCAATCATATACAGTAGTGTATATATTCATATACTGAACTGCTTTTTAAAACCCAAGAGTATCTGTTTGTTGAAGTTCCCATAGGAAATATGAATCAGATTGCTTCTTCTCTCTTCTCCTTCAAAGTTTCTTGAAGTAAAATACCAGCAGTAGGTCAGCACTCAACACTGATATCCTCTCTTTTTCGTTATCGAACAGAGAACAATTCTTTCTTCTTAACTAGAATAGAAAGGTCCTTTACATGACAGGGCCTTTTCTGAAGATAATGAGATATTATCTTTGTTTTCGTTATTTTCCTTTGTATATATATTTCACTTTTACATGTAGAAATAGGAATTTGAGCACGGCTTTATATTTTATTTGTAATGTAATTCAGATATGCATTTGATGAATGGAAATTGACGGCCAAGTTTAAGTTTGTGTCCAACAATATTATGTTTTGGTTGCTAAGATTTTTCATAATGCATATTATATTGAGATTGTTGGAAACTGATGTGAAGTGTGTTTGTGTTAAAAATGCAGCTTAATCTCCCAAGGGAAGACTAATTCTCAGGGGATCTTTTGAGAAAAGGTGCCCCTGGCATGCACTCCCTTCCATTCTTACCTGTATGACATTTGTCAAAATGGCTGTAGCAGTTGATCAACACCATGGATTCAGGCCATTCAGCCGATCCCAGAGATGCAGATTACAGTCCTACACTCAACTCGATTACAGCATACTTGCCCACTCCTTAACACACGCATTTGGTGATGCCAATTTTCACAAAAGCTTCTCCACCCCTTGTCTATCCCTAACCACTGCATTGGAGGAAGATTTTGACACAAATCCAAGGATTGAAATTGTTGGAGGCAGTAGGATACCTAGAGTACATGCTCTTGTAGTCGAGGTCGCCATAGCTATGGCGTCTGGTGCTGATCTCTTGCCGGTGTCAAGTGGACTAGGGGGTGCCTACTACTTATGTAGTCAAAATGGTGACAGTATTGCTGTGGCAAAGCCAATAGATGAAGAACCTTTAGCTTTCAATAACCCTAAAGGCTTTGGGGGTCGGATGCTGGGCCAACCGGGTTTGAAACGCTCAGTTCGGATTGGTGAATCTGGAGTTCGAGAATTGGCAGCTTATCTCCTTGACCACGGTGGATTCGCTGGTGTTCCTCCCACAGCTTTAGTAAAAATTTCCCATGTTGCATTCCAAATTAATAACAATGCAGCCGGAATTTCAGCTACACCTTATAAGATTGCTTCTCTGCAGCGCTTCGTGGATCATGACTATGATGCAGGAGAGTTAGGTTCTTCAGGCTTCTCAGTTGCTTCTGTTCATCGTATTGGAATTTTTGATGTAAGACTCTTAAATCTTGACAGGCATGCAGGGAATATGCTTGTTAAAAAATACGAACTGCACAATTATGCAGTTGGGGTGGCTGAGCTTGTGCCTATTGACCATGGTCTTTGCCTTCCTGAGTGGCTTGATGATCCATATTTTGAATGGTTGCACTGGCCTCAAGCTTCGGTTCCCTTTTCCGAGTTTGAAATTGAGTACATATCCAATCTTGACCCCTACAAAGATGCAGAGCTTCTTAGAACTCATATTCCTTATTTACGGGAGGCTGCTATCCGTGTTCTTGTGCTATGCACCATCTTCTTGAAGCAGGCTGCTGCAGCTGGGCTTTGTCTTGCTGATATAGGGGAAATGATGACTCGGCGGTTCTGTGCTGGAGAAGAAAGTCTGAGTGCATTAGAGAATCTTTGTTTGCAAGCTAAGGCTGCCATGCCTACTACAGTAGATGAGACGAAAGGAAAAATTGGAGAAGTTGAAATGTTTAAACTTGAAAACGAAAGTGAAGAAGGTTTGAAAGAGAATTTGGACCTTCCTCAACTCTTAGGGAGCCATTCTGGAATGAGTAAGCCACCCATTATGTCAAGGTTTTCATCTGCAGGATCAATTACTGGGTTGACCGATGCATCTCTGTCTCCACTATTCGAGGAAAACGATCATGATAACGACGATAATGACAGAAAGACTATGATAGGCAATAATGGTAGTGATGATGATGGAAGTACTAGCGATAGTCGTAAGGTCGGGGTTTTGATGAAGAGCATGAGTTTCTCAGTACCTACCCACAATTGTGAAGCAGGGGCAATATCTTTTGGAGACATGAGTGGAGATGAATGGGAACTGTTCTTGGATAGTTTCGAAAAGCTTTTGCCGGAGGTACTCGAGGGCACAAAGTCCCTGAGCTTGAAGCAGAGGTTGGGAACTACTACTTCCTGCAAGTTCTGAGAAATTAATATTTTGTGGGAAAGAAAAAAAAGATTTGAAAACAGACTTTGTTGCTTATATTTAGTCCAGTATGAAAGTGAGTGTACATTATTGCCAAATGAAGACGGTAGAGTAGTAGATTGTAAATAAATAGAATAGGTGCAACTGGAAATGCGATTGGCGAAACGCCATCCTTTCTGTGTACCTGTTTTTATGCTTCATTATCTTGTATCGTTGCCGTAGACTGACATAGAATTGGTTCTCTTGCAGAGATGACCTGCAACAGAATAATTGACATGTTCAAACGGTTGATATTAATTAGTTTGATATATTAATAATATCATACTTTCTTCTTTGAAATGGATATTAGTTTTCTTTCCTCTTCTTTTTGTACTCCGAAGTTCCAGAATGAATTGTGCCAAATGGATATTAGTTTTCTTTCCACTTCTTTTTGTATTTGGCACAATTCATTCTGGAACTTCGGAGTTCAAATTCAGATTATATATTTGTTCACCCGTTTTGATCTAATCCTGTGATTATAGGGTAAAGTTCCCCATTAACTTGAGAACCATTTGTGGTTAACAAATCAACTTTCTTTCGTATATGAGCGTGCTACTAGCAGACTTCCAAAAAATAGGTAACTTGCGCTCCAAGTTATTGATTTTGAACAAGCAATTGTGAATTTGGGTGATGAATATCTCCCAAGTGAATTCTTTTTCTTGCCTCGGACTGGTGATGGCTTCACAATTTTTCACAGTACAAAACTGGTAGTTCTGGCCAGAATTTAAAAAAAAAGAGCAAAAACTGTTTAAGCAGAACTGCCTATTACAAAACTTAAAAGAGAAATGCCAAGTTTGAAAAAGACAACATAACGTTGGACTTCGATTTCTGCGTGGGTGGCTGCCTCTGAACTGGGCTGGATTGGATATGTTTATGCTGGATTGAACTGTCAGCACCTTCAACCGATAGGTTTCAGTTGGAAATCAATACCAATGTTTGAATTTGGCAGAGCTTCAATTTGTTTCAAACCTTGGAAGGCTTGTTGGATGGGCGGAATTGAGGCCTCTTCAGTCTGGAGGGGGCAAAAGTGGCTAGATTGATGATTGCAGAGCTAGAGGTGCACTATACTACATGTTCTGCTTGATCAGGACCTCTTCATAAATTTGTTGAGGTTTTCATATTGTAAAAAACCTGGATTCTGCTTGACCTGGCTTGTGCTGAAATCTCTCTTTGTGAAACTGTTTCTCTGAATTGAACTGAAGTCAGAGACTTTGAGTTCTGGCTGACCTATCTCTTGTGGATCAAAGAGTTTTGGTTGCTTCAGAATCTGAAGACTTTTTGAGATCGACTGATCTTGTTTTGAATTTGTCAGTATGACTTTGAGAGTTTTTGTTTTGATTGATTTTTTGCTGTTCTTTACCCTGTTGACCTCTTTTTATATTTATAGAGAATTTGAATGAGTTTTTTAAATATCTAGGGGCATGAAAAGAGATTTTCTTTTTCTATTGCAGAGAAGTTATTAATATGGCAGAAAAAGAACCATCAATAGTCAGTTCCTATGATGGTCTTTTTGCTTTTTCTGAAAAAAGACCAACTCTCTTGTTCTCTATTTATTCTTTTGCAAAAACACAACCTGTCATGATGGTCCGTTTGCTTTTTCTGATGAACAACTCTCCTGCTTCCTGCTTATCTCTTGATGATGTAACCTGCTTTGGTGCAGAGCTTCTTTGCACATGAGAGGAGATATGATCTTCTTTTCCTGGTTTTTAAAATGGAGAAGGTTTTTCGAAAAACCTATCTTCATTAACTCCCTATCACTTCCTTTATCTTAGTTGAGAATTCTGACTTTTCAAAGTCAAAAAGTCACGTGGGGGTTCCTTTTGAGAAAAAATCGTTCAAGCCAAAAATCTGCTCATTTGCGCTTTTGGGGTTGAGATCAGATGGTGAGAGTTTTTAGAAGCTGGGCCTTTTGATCCAAAGCTGGGTGTGTGTGTCAGATTTAATTGCCAATAATGGTAATTAATTTTTAGACCATGGTAATATTTGTAACCTGCCCAAAAAATGGTTTGGGCCATTTCAGCATTTTGGGTTGATTTCCAATTCCAATAGATACAAAGCCCAATCGATTTTTTTTTGTTATGGGCCTTTTAACAAAATGGGATGGCGTGCATAATTTTGGCCTAAACAATATTTCAAACATTCATGTGGAAAAAATGATGTACATCAATCAATCTGACCAGGTTTTTCAAAATAAACAGTTGCACTTCCATATCAGAATTCAAAATGCAAATCTAGTTTGTAAACGGGAGATTGGCGGCTTTACTCCTGGCTCACCTAATTTATTCACTAATATCTTTATTTTGAAACTCAATCACAGATGCCCCTTATAAAAACTCCCTATTGATAGCTTATTGCCCATCCTTCACTTATTTTTTTTTTCTTCTGAGTCATTGCTCTCTGAAATACTCTCATCTCTCTACTCTCTTCCTCTTCCTCTTCTTCCTTCTACCCCTCTTTCACTTTTGTTTAGTTGTTCTGAGCTCTCAAATCCTCTTTCACAATTTCTCAGTCTCACTCTCTCAGCCCTTCTCTCCTCTCTTCTCTCTTTCACTCGCACCCACATCGGCGACAACGACCTCACCCTTTCCACCTCCTTCTCTCACTCTCTGTCACCTCTTTCGACCTCCATGCATGGCGTCTCAGGTAGCCAGCTCAGCTTTTTCTCCTTCAAATTTGGGCCTTGTTTCAATTTCATATATGGGTTTTGATTTTTGGTGCTTGATGTGAGTTCAAGTCCCTCCAAGTCAAATTTAAGTGAGATTGTACAGAAATTTGTTGAAACATAATTGTGGGTTTAATTTAAAATTTTACTCTCAAGGTTTACAATTAATATTTTCAGCTTGTGTAGAGAATGTTATTTCAGTGAGATTATACAAGAACTTTTTGAGGAATATTATGCTTGAATCTTGTTTATAAAATTTTGGGACTGTGCAACAAATTTTTCTTAGTTTGTCTTCGGATTGTGCAACAAATTTTGGGTTTTCCGATGAGGTCTGACTCACAGCTCCTCTCTTCTTAGTTATCTCTTCCAACTCGCAGATGATTCTTTTCGAGTTCTTTGGTGAGGTCTGCAATAAACATGGGATACACACGCAATAAACCGGCAATACACATGCAATAAACAAGCAATACACATGTAATAAACATGCAATAAACATGTAATAAACACGCAATAAACATGTAATATACATGCAATAAACATGCAATATACACACAATAAACAAGCAATACACACGCAATAAACAAGCAATATACACGAAGGGAGAGAGCTTGTATTAGAGTTATCTTGCTGAGCATGTTTATTACAATAAACAAGCAATATACAGGCAATAAATCTGAAATTTCTAAGTTTTTTTATTGTCTTATTATTGTCATCGCATTGGCCCTGTATTACTATTTTATCATTGTCGTATCACTGTTTTTTTCAAGTCTGTCTTGGAAAGTTTTTGTTGGGTTTCAAACAAATAAATGCTTCTGTTTCAAACAAAAATTTAAAGTCAATGCCAATCCATCCATTTCAAAAACAAATATTACAAATTGGGTTTGCAAACTCGTTGGTGGTGCTTGTGGCTAATGATGTGGATGAGGAAGATGGGTCTTTGGACCTAGGAAAAGAAGAACATGGATAATTGGGAATTAGGGTTGGGAATCAATGAGAGAGCGAGAGAGAGAGAGAGAGAGAGGATATGCAAAATTGGGATTTCATCTCAAATAGAGCATATAAGAGAAGAGAATAAGAAGAAGCAAAGAAGAAAGCAATTGGGGGTGTCATCTCAGAGATAGCAGATCATAGAAGAAGAAGAAGAAGAAGAAGAAGAAGAAGAACCCACAATTATGTTTCAACAAATTTCTGTACAAACTCACCCAAATTTGACTTAGAGGGACTTGAACTCATATCAAGTACCAAAACAAAAGTGAGAGAGGGGCAGAAGGAAGAAGAGGAAGAGGAAGAGACTAGAGAGATGAGAGTATTTCATAGAGCAATGACTCAGAAGAAAAAAATTAAGTGAAGGATGGGCAATCGGCTGTCAATAGAGAGTTTTTATAAGAGACATTTGTGATTGAGTTTCAAAATAAGAATATTAGTGAATAAATTAGATGAGCCAGGTGCCAATATCCCTTTTTAAAACAACACCTACCCCTTGCCCGTTGCCCTTGCATTAGACCTGCCCTAACAATTTTCTAGCTTTATATTTGACCCTTTGACTTGGGGACTTCGTCTTCTACGGTCTCTCTCTCTCTCTCTCTGCGAGTATCAGCAGCAGCGCAGCCACAATGGCCATCAGCATTGTAGACTATGAACTGCCATACGACACCCACAATGAGTACGACGTGTCGTTTCACGGTGATCGGATCCACACTCTGGTCACTCACAGCTCGTCCATAGTGGATTCATGGCTCGCCCAAACCAACCTCCAGTCCCGAATCGTAGGGCTTGACGTGGAGTGGCGCCCCAACTTCAACCGTTCGATCGAAAACCCAGTGGCCACGCTGCAGCTCTGCGTGGGCCCCGATTGCCTGATCTACCAGCTCCTCCACACCCAGCACATTCCCCAGGCCCTCTACGCCTTCCTCGCTAATCGCAGCTACACATTCGTCGGCGTAGGTATCGGCAGCGACGTGGAGAAGCTCCTCCTTGACTACGGGCTGCACGTGGCCAATGCGGTTGATCTTGCGGTTTTCGCAGCGGATAGAATTGGTTCGAGGGAGCTGAGGAATGCTGGGTTGAAGGGATTGGCCAGGCAGATGCTGGGGAAGGAGGTTCAGAAGCCCAATAGGATCACCATGAGCAGATGGGACAATCAGTGGCTTACTTGTGATCAGGTTCAGTATGCTTGTGTTGATGCTTTTCTTTCCTTTGAGATTGGTAAGCATTTGAATGTTTGAAATATGGGTTTTCTTTTTCTATGTCTATGGATTTAGGTAGTGGGTTTTTAGATTGCAGGAGCTTTGGTAGTGGAATTGTTTCAAATTGGTTTCTTTATCTTGTTGGGAAACTTTAGAAATTGGGATCAGCATGCTGGTTTTACTTTCTATCTAATCAACCAGAATTTAGGGATTGGATATTATTATGGAACACTTTTGCTATTGAAGTCTTGTGTGCACTTACTTTTGAGCTTCTTTATAATGGCTTTGGGTTTTTCATGTGAGAGAAAGTTGTAACTTTTGATATTAGTAGGATTGATTGGATTGGATTCGGATCCTATTGAAAGCAATATGCACAGTTTGTAATGTGTTTATGCTGCAATATTTTCTTTCTGTAAACATTGAATCTGTGCCTTTTACTTGATCACTACAAAATAGGAATGATTATATTCTCCCTGGTGATGATTATTATGGGGATAATGTATTCAGAGCAACTCCAGAATGCTCTGGTTAGGAATTCCCATTAGAGCACCCATAAGTTTTTCTAGTGGTTGGTTTGGTAGTGTTAGTAGATTTTCTCATTGTATTATTAACCAAAGAAAAAGAGCATAGCCCAGAAGAAGAGACAAAGGCACAAGATAAAATACCTAAGAAAAACCCAAAAGGGCAGGGCAGAGAAAGAACCGAGCTATTATTTGGATCCATATTTTGAGAGCTTGGATCTTCCTTCATTTGGTTTGCTCTACTATATCATAACAATTGAAACCACTGAAGGCTATCCTAAAATATACATTTACTAGCATAAGGTAGCAGAACCTTGCCCCTATTGATCTGTTGATGCTTTGTGTGTGTTAAGCAATATATATAGATAGATATATCTATCCACTTTTCACATTCTAGCTTTGCCTTCCAAGTTTTAGTGTAAATGCCACACTTAGGGAATGGTCAAATATTAATCAATGAAATCATCACCTTGTCCCTTACCATTCCAAATACACTATCTATCTTCTGCAATTACTGGTTTAATTAGTCACCGTCAACTTCAATATGCCCAATATTGTTCATGCCAATAAAGCCACAACTAGTGATCAGTCCACTAAATTTGTTCCCCAATATTTCCTACTACTCTATTAATTAATTGAAAGATGAATGATTTCCAGCATGAAGACTTGAAAAGCTCCATAATGGATTGAAAATGGAACTCTTAATCTTCTTTGTTCTTTCTTTCTTTCTTGCCCTGATTCTTTGTGACATTGATCACTGATTTAAGTTTATTAATGTTAGGATTTATGATATGAAAGCAAATATGATATTACCTGCTGTCCAATTTAGTGTGATAGTAAAGTTAAAGTTTATGGGCTATGAAATTACTTAACTTCTTAAAGATTCCTAAATTATGGTAAACTATCAAAATGTGGACGATCAAGTTATGTTTTGATGGACTTCACTATCAGGTTATCAACTATAAATGGTTAGGTCCCTACCCTCACATAAGATAGCTCATATAGTTAGTCTCGCTCCGTCGAACGACATTGAGTGAAGAGTTGTAGAGAGTGGGTGATCTATGCCATTTTGAGTATTCTCATGGCTTCATTTGGTATGAGATTTGGTTTATGTATGTAGTGTGTGTGTGTGTGTGTGTGTGTGTGTGTGTGTGTGTGTGTGTACCTCTTTTCACTATCCTCAAGCAGCTAAAAAAACGAACACCACATATTTGTATAAAACTTTTATTTGAAAATTAACAATATCTAGAGTAGGGTAAGCTCGAATTTGCGTGTGAAGAAAAACTATTTTCTTTTCTTCGTGCACTCTCCTTGATCTGTTAAGAACCTATCAGTTTCCCCCGTCTTCAATCTAGTACTTCACACAGATTTTTCACTAGCCTCCCTTTGCCCTGGTAGCTGTGCATCTCCTTATCCTTCATCTCTCCTTCCCATCAGAACCACACAGAAGAGATTTTTGGATGAAATCGATTGGTTTGTATGCGCATGAATCATATGAGCTTGATGGATGAAATCGATTGGTTTGTGGGCATGAATTATATGAGCTCACACTTGAAGTTTCAAAGTGACATGAACTGGAATTCTTGCACACTTTCGTCTGAGATCTTTAGGGCCTGTTGGGTGTTCAACTTGAATCCAATTTTTTAAACTCAAAAACAGAATTTGAGTCCAAAACAAAAAAAACCTGTTTGGTAGCTCAATTTTTAAAAAATTCAAGCTCAAACAATTAAAAAAAAACCCCAATTATTAAAAACAAAAAATATCTGCTTTTTTTTTTTTCCTAACAATCCACAAGTTCTCAAATTTTTAAGATTTAAAAACAGTTTTCAAGTTGCATACCAAACAAGTTTTTGAATCTTAAAAATAGATTTAAGAACTCCTTGTTTTTAAGAAAAATCAAAGTTTTTGAATTCTCTATTTAAATAGAATATCAAACGCCCCCTTAGGTACCTTTCATCTTGTTTGGTGTTGTCTCGGAAAATAAAATAACCTAAGGATTGGAGAAAAAGTAAAAAGAACAAACATTCTTTCTCATAGAAATAATTTGACATTCTAATCCAACTATAGAAAATTTTGCTTTGCAGTCTTTAGGGAAGAAAAATTTATTCCAATTTTGTTTTTTATTACCCTTAAAGATTGAATTTTGAAAAAATCACAAAGGTTTTTTGAGAGAAATTTCCGTTTTTAACAATTTCACAAGCAATCATCTCTTACATTTTCTTGCAAATTATTCAATTAAAAATGGAATTTGGAATCTTTGGGTACTTGTTGTGAAAACTTTTAGATAATTTAGGGGGCTTTTTGTATCCTATTCAAATAGGAAACTCAAAAACTTTGATTTTTTTTTTTTTTTTTTAAAAAGGAGTTCTTAAATCTATTTTTAAGATTCAAAATGGGTTGTTAGAAAAAAACTGAAAAAATATATATTTTTTGTTTTTAATCATTGGGGTGTTTTCTAATTGTTCTTAAGTTTGAGTTTTTGAAAATAGGGATACCAAACAGGTTTTCTTTATTTTGGACTCAAATTATGTTTTTAAGTTTAAAAAATTGGATTCAAGTTGAATACCAAACAGACCCTTTTTTCACAATAAAAAGTTCCAGATTTTATGCCTTTAAAAATTTCCACCCATTGTAGCATAGGTTTGTTTGCGATTTCAAAAAGAAGTAAAAATCATCAAATAGAGGTAGAGGGGAAATTGCTTCAGATTTTCAAGTGGGTTTTTTTGTCCTGCAGAAGAAGAGTTAAAATTGCTTAGAAAATAGAGTACTTACAAGTGAGAAACGCCAACAAGGTCTAGCCCAATAGAAAATGACCTTTATTTGCAGACCAGAGGTCTCAGGTGTTGAAGAATAGAAGTCCCACATCGAAAACTTGACTAAATAAAATACAATATATAATGAATGATTCCACTACTAATATTACGAAGGCCTTTTGTGATAAAACTTCACACCTACTGGGCTTTGTATGTGGTTAAGTCAGGGACAATATTGGTATTAGTAGTGTGCATTGGCTCGTCTCTCTGAATTTAACATCACATTCGAATCCCTACGAACAATTTTTTCAACGATCCAAACCATCTATTTCTCATGTCTTTATTCATAGATCATCCTTGTAAAAAATTTGACAATTTCGATGGATATATTGGGTTATTATCGATAACGATAAAAATTGAATAAAAACCAAGGAAATTGTAAGAAAAACTTGAAAAATTTTCTTGAAACTTTGGAGGATATTTATTTAGTCAATTATCTATTACTTAATCACAAAAGATTGGAAGGAAATGTATTGTATGATGGGTTTAACTGATTTAAGTTGATTATATAGCGATATTTAGGCCAAATATTGCTAAAGTGTGAGAAATTATCGACATCGATGTTTTCTGATATTATAGTCGATATTTAAATGATATGTGTATGGATACGTTCCAAACTATCCTCGACCCCAAAAAACGATAATATCCTTGATATTTTGTCAATATTATCAATATTTTAAACTATGATCCAAAGTGATGTTGAGTTTCCCCAACTCTTGGATTCTTAATTTAAACCTGTTACCTATTTTAAATATCTCAAACGACTAAAAACCTAACTCCATAAATTTCTATAAAACAATTTTTTTTTTTTAAGTAAAAAAAAATTAATAATAAAAAAATTTTAGAGTAGGGTACTCTCAACACCTTCCGTGGTTCTCATATTTTCAACATCATAATTATGCATTGAGAAAACTTAAATAAACAAAGAAACACAGCAGTAGAATAGGCGATTCTAATCAGTTTCCACCATCTAGCTTTGTTTTATATTAAATCATGTACGCAAAATCTAATCAGTTTCCACTCACAAAGGATAATCAAAGACGCCTCTATAAATGTGTACGTACAATTATAGAGGTATACAAGCGATTCTTAGCAAGCAATATCAAGTATTATTTTCCATTTCTACATTTTCTCCCTACAAAAATCTCCAATTACATTGCTAGTTTTGGTCTAACAATTTCAAGATGAGGTCGCTGTTACTCTTAGGTGTTTTGTTTGCAGTTGTAGCAATTTTTTTCTTCCCTTCTGAGGCCGATGCCAACAAATTGGTTCCGAAAGAGGGAAGGAAAGAAAAGATTGGCCATCATGTCCTAGTGAACGCCCATTCTGGCAGAAAGCTAGATGGTGAAAATGAACAAACTGCGGAAAATGGCGGCGGTGATAGCGGAGACAACAAAGATGGAGATAGTGGTGACGGTGATGATAATGGAGGCAATGAAAATGGAGGGAGTGATGGTAGTGATGGTACTGAGAACGGAGGAGAGAGTGATGGTAGTGATGGTACTGAGAACGGAGATGGAGAGAGTGATGGTAGTGAGAACGGAGGCAATGAAGATGGAGAGAGTGGTAGTGGTAATGGAGGGAATGAAGACGGAGAAAATGGTGGCAGCGGAGATAGTGCTGGGGGTGGTGATAACGGAGGAGGCAATGAGGATGGGGATAGTGCCGAGGGTGGTGATAACGGAGGAGGGAATGAAGATGGGGGGAGTGGTGACAACGGGGATAGTGCCGAGGGTGGTGATAACGGAGGAGGGAATGAAGATGGGGGGAGTGGTGACAACGGAGGAGGGAATGAAGATGGAAGATAGTGGTGACGGTGATGATAATGGAGGCAATGAAAATGGAGGGAGTGATGGTAGTGATGGTACTGAGAACGGAGGAGAGAGTGATGGTAGTGATGGTACTGAGAACGGAGATGGAGAGAGTGATGGTAGTGAGAACGGAGGCAATGAAGATGGAGAGAGTGGTAGTGGTAATGGAGGGAATGAAGACGGAGAAAATGGTGGCAGCGGAGATAGTGCTGGGGGTGGTGATAACGGAGGAGGCAATGAGGATGGGGATAGTGCCGAGGGTGGTGATAACGGAGGAGGGAATGAAGATGGGGAGAATGGTGACAACGGGGATAGTGCCGAGGGTGGTGATAACGAAGGAAATGGAGATGGAGGCGATGAGGCTTTCAGAAAATCAACTAAACATAGCCCAGAAGTTTCCCATTAATGTTATTAACTTTGAGATGAAGATAAAAGACATGCATATATATAAATAAATAAAGCGTGTATAAAGCCATTAGAAGAGCTGATGAAAGCACGCCATGCATGTCTCTTCAAATTTATGATGAAATCGCCGTCTTACCAAATGTTTAAAATGAATGAGTAAGTACGGGTATTGTGTTATTGGGAAATAGATGTTATCTGAGTTTTTTCTTTGTCAAGGCTCACTTCGTGTTTAGTTTTTATACTTTGTGCTTGAGATATATGGGGAAAGTATATGGGGAAAAGAGGGAGGAAGAAGGGTGGTGGGGCGGAGGAGCGAGAAATGAAGGAGAATGTAAGAAAATAAGAAAAAACAATTTGAGACTGAAAACAACCTAAAATAGTAGTTTTCCGTTTTCATTTTTTGTACCCATATACATTTTTCCCACATCCTTCCCATCATCATTTATCCACCTTTCTATATCCATTATTTCTCCCATGTATTTCCCTCGTATTACACAAAAGAAAAAAAAAATGAAATGGTTACCAAATGAAATAGTCGTAATTCTGGCCAGACTCGTTCTTTTGGCTACTCTTTTGTTGCTTTCTTTTCACATGTCTCAGTTCTGATAGGCTATAATCAAGCTCTTTGATAGAAGTTGGACTCTCAAGACGTTCTGTTAGGGTTTTACATTGCTAACAGTGGTACTCTCGCAAATTAATACAATCTTTTTGGCCTATTTCAGAGGCTGTGAGATTTGGGTTAAATAGTATTTTTATCAACAACAGCTTGTAGATAAACCCTATCATTTGGCTTACATGTTTGGATTATTTATTTACCTTCACTATAATTCTCTAAGAACACTTGAGATTAACTTTCGCGCTCATCATGAAAATTGTTTGTTTCGTATTACAGTTCTACATAGTTGAGTCTTCTGGAAGTCTTCCAGACACTTTGGACATTGGAGATGTTTCTGAATCTGGGTTGCCGCCAGGCAGTACATAGAAAATGAAGAATTTAGCAGTTGTTTGATACCGTCATCTCCTGTTAAATTTGTTTTTGTGGAAAACAAGAAACATGTCAGCTGTTTTACCTTGACATGTTTGGTTTACGGGCAACAAGTATATAAACAGAAGATCTTCTCTTGGGGTCATGGACATCATCCACACAGTTGTTTGATTATGGTTGTTTGGCTTCTTAGATGCCTGTCCTTAATCTCTGATTTTTCTTAACACTTTCGGGCTTTATGGGCCGACAGCTCACTGTTCAACGTCATGCCACTCTACAGTTTTCTGCAAGTTATGTGCTTCTTCCACCCTTCTCTTTTCATGAAGGGAAAGATTGAGGCTAAGCCTAAAGGCCTCGCCCATGGATTTTTTCTGTTCTTTTTTTTCCAAGAAATTCCACTTAATATTTTTTTATTTCTAAACCCCCCCGATGTGGGACTATTTTAACTTTATTACAGGCTGGGAATGTTGACAAAGGAGTGCAATGGGGATGCTGGCTCCTCTTCTGACCCCAGGAGACAACAGTGTTTTGGAGGAAAAGTTGGGTCCCTAGAGGTACCACCTGAATTCATTTGTGTATATCTTCTGGATTCTTCGGCAAAATAGAAACGAGGTGATTTTTGAAGCATGTTATCAAACAGAGGATATGATTTTTAATAGAGCTGTGCAGATGGCTGAGAAATATGGAGATCTCATGGAAGAGATTCTACTGCAGCTGTTGATAAGGCTTCCAATTTGTCTTCCCCTCCTGTTGGTATGTTTAAACTCAATGTAGATGCTGCTTCGGGTGTGGGTGGAATTGGTGCTGTCATTAGAAATGACAACGGGGAAGCAATGGCGGCTATGGCCCTTCCCTTTGAAACCGCCACCTCCACCAAGCATGCCGAGATTATGGCACGTCAATTCGGGTTGAACTTTGCTTGGGATGCTAGATCCTCCTCTGTCATGCTTGAGTCTTATTCACAAGCAGTGATCAATAGTATAAATTATGACGAGGATGAGTCCTTTGCACCAGAAGGGCATCTTATTGATGGTGTGAAGAGGAGTTTACAACAGTTTCAGAATGCCACTCTCTTTTATTCCAATGGGATGTATTCAAGTAGCTCATTTTTTAGCTAAACATGCTTTAAACTGCATATAAATTGTTACTTGGATAGAAGAGGTTCCCTGGTGGTTGGAGGCTTTCCTTATTGATGATACTGTTGCATCCTCCTAATTAAGTTTAATGAATTCGGAGTTCCTTCTCATTGGGTAAAATGAAATTTACAGAGGGCAAGTGCCAGAACAAAAAATATTGACCATTGATGTGAAGCCAGGATGCAAGAAGGGAACCAAGATTGCATGTCCAGATAAAGGCAACGAGCAGCTTGGCCAGCTGCCAGCAGACGTTGATTTTGTGATTGATCATGAGAAACCCCATGACACATACAAGAGAGACGGCAAATCACCTCATTGTGATCCACAACGGTGCATCTCACCAAGCTCGATGGTTGTGATCTACCCATCCCGGTGTCTGACACTCTAAGCCTGGGCTACGAACTTCTTGTTGCCAAGGAGGGCATGCCAATACCAACAGTTCGGGTAGCTAACATTCAAGTCAAAGCTGCATTTGTTTAGTTTGTATATTTTGTTGTCAGCAATCACTAGGGTTCATGTATTGTGTTATTGCTTGTATCCTTGTAAGTTCTTTTTCTGTTTTGGCAATATCCTGAACTCTTCAGTATTTTGCACAACATAGTTTCCTGTTCTTCAGATTCTACATGATGGTCTAAGAAAACAAGGCAGATGCACTGAATGTATCTCAGCCATTGATCTGTATTCAGAATAAAAAAATCTTAGATCAAAATTGGTCCCCAGAATATTTTGTATATTTTGGGTGTTATCCATTGCCTTTGCTTTTGCTTAAAATGGTGGGCAGCCCAAGGATTTCAGCATAACTCGCTACCTCAAAAAATTTCTTCTTCTTTTTTGGGCCATTAGATCCTGTGCAGGTTAAAAGCATTTTCGGGATAACCATCAAAGTTCAGAACAAGAAGCAAACGAATACTTTGCCGTCACTCAATAACAATGATGCGTTTTAGGTTAAAACCAACTAGTTAAATACAAAGTTACTCTTAAGGCATGCTTTTTCATCGCAAAAAGTTTCAACCACCACCTTATTTCCTTTGTAAGATCAATAAAGTTTCATTACGGTAGCCTAAACATGAAAGTAATTTATGGGCTAAACAAAAGTTGTGCAGCAAATGCCTACGTTTGGGTTAGCAACCGTAGCTAGAATAATAGCTCGTGTTTTTGTTCGAAAAGTCTACATAACCCAGTAGAACACTAGTGCTTACAGAAGAAAGAGATCTTCAGAATACAAAGAAAAGATTTAACTTTACATATGATAAAAATGAGAAAATCTAAAACCCTCTGCTTTTAGGAGCATTTGGTCGCCAGGCTAATCCTGACTGAGCAGCTGCTCCTCTATCGGGTTCTCCATAAAACTGACCAGCTTCGGGCTGACAACTTAGATTACTTGCATACCTCCCACCCCCTTGTGCTGGTGGAGCCCACAAGGGACTTTGCTGCCAAGAGAGATTAGGGTTTTGTAAGTTTGGTGCCACATTCACTGTGGGTTGAAGAGATTGCAATGGCTGCTGCGGCTGTACTAAACCCAAATGTTGTTGGTTTGGCAAATGGGGTCGCAACATTGGCTGCTGCTGGTAATTATTCACCGGCCGCTGTTGCGGTGGCTGGTACTGGGTTAGGGATTCTGTGGGCGCATTAGGCTGCCACCCTGGGATCTGATACGTACTACTATTGTTTTGCCCATATTTTTGAATCAGCTCTCTCATTTGATCTACAGGGCGAGAAGGGGTATGGGACTTGGGGTATACTGGGGCCGCCACTCCAGGCCCCCTAGAGGGCCTTTGGGCAGAATACTGAGGCAGAGCTGGATTTGCTCCACCACTAAAATTGAACTCTGGAAGGTCATCTTCATCCCGAGAAGCTCCGGGGCCAAACCCAGGAGGGACATCGTCATCATCATCATGTGCAGATCTAGTGTTGGTAGGGGGTACAGCCCGAGCCTGGGCGGGTCTGGAAGTGTAATTGGTGTTCGAATTTGTATCATGTCTCCTAGAACTAGTAGTAGTAGAAGAAGAATAGTGTTGCTTTTTTGAAATGTGCTTGTGGTGCGATGATGATTTTGGTGAAGTTAATTTTCTCCACACAATAACACCAACAAGACCATTATCTATAGTGTTAAGTGCCTCAATGTGTTCCTTCTGAATGATCTTGCTGAGCATGTCAAAGGTTTTATTATGGGGAGGGCAAAAATAAATTTCCACTCCAAAACAAGGCTCAGAAAAACCAACTCTCTCATCCACAATGTACGATTCTCCCACCTGCAGCGGAATAAATTTTCGATATGAAAAAGAACCTCAACTTGCAACCAGAGATCATATATAGATACAGCTATTAGATATATCAGTACGAATGTTACCTCACGAAGGCTTGCACATTCAGTTTCTGACGAACCCTCTTTAGGAACAAAATGCACGACCTGCAAAAATTAAAGGAAAAAAAAAAAAGTTAATCTATAGCTTACCCATACAAATAAAATTCATACATAATTACTGCCATTTTTTTTTTTCTGGTTCTTTCTAGTAACTATCTTATAAATCTGCTCGTCGATTACTGGGAGAGCCATTTCCCGCAAAGGTCCTATGCAGTTCATATTCTCATTCAAGTTGCTGAAACTTATAATAGCACAATGTTTTCAAGTTTAATTTGCTAAACCAAAATAAAGGCTGCAAATACTAATGCAAATGATCGGAGACAATCCTGCTAAATCTCTTGAGAACAATTCAGGCACAACACAGGTTAACATAAATGACTTGACTCAATCTTAGAGTTTGTTCAACAACACTGTCCAGACAAATGCAAACATAATGTCATAGATACTGCTCTTTATGTTAGAACTAATTGAAGCCCAAAAAAGACAAAAAGTTCTTTAATTTTATATTTGCAGAGTCTAAGAACTGATAACTCTTCCCAGAAAAAAGGCAACGCAACGCTGCACCAATGGAAAAATCAATGAAACACCAAAACAAACATTTGTTTATATAATTTTTCCTTTTTCGAGACATTATAATATGACATAATACGGGTAGTGTTAAACCCAAAAAACAAATAAACAATAACAGCTTTGAGATACCATGACAGCACGGCTTCGTGATTGTGGAAGCTCTTGCAGGAATTTCTCAAAAGCATCAAGTCTGACTCTGCCCTTGATATCGAGAAAACCAGGCCACTCTTTTGCAGAGGTTTTTTCACCACTGCAACGGAAAAAGTTGGATTAGCATAAATCAGAAATGAAAACATAAAGTTTCATACAAACTACAGAATATTTGAAAACATTACATTTGCCAATATATGCGTCCACACATGTATGTGATACACACCAAAACACCCTTTCTTGTCTCACGCAATATTATCAAGCATAAATAATTTTAGGGTAAATTTTACTTTACTACCCGGAAGTTTCCCGAGTTTTAGACTTTACTACCAAAAGTTTTTTTCGTGTCAATTCATACCCAAAGTATGGTTTTTCTACCACTTTCATAACTCCGTTAGTTTGACCGTCAAATTTTCCGTTATACGATGACATAGCAATCATGGGCCCATGTGCATTCACTTATATTGTGCCAAGTGGACTAATGAAAGATATTAACTAAATTATTAATTAAGTTAATCAAAAAATGGAAAAAGAAAAACAATTAAAGAAATGAAAAAAACAAAAAACTCTCTCAGCACCTCCGCCTATCTCCCTTCTTCGCTGCCACAATCGACCATCTTTCAGCACACCCATCCCACCCCCAAAAAAACATTAACTGTGACCACAAACCAGACCCCACCTGCAACACACAACCACCTCCAGCATATCTCAGCACGAGTCCGACATGAATTTCGAGTTCCAAGTCCATATGAAGCCAACCCAGATCTGGGCTTTTGGCAGACTTTTGAGATTCTAAGAGAGAGAGGGTGGGACTGCATTCATGGTTCACGTCCTCTTTTGTGAATCTTTGAATCTGATCTGCCGGGTTTGTTTGTTTTAATAATTTCTTTTACTTGACTGGGTTTGATTAGTTGAAAAGAAGAAACCAAGTTCGATGAATAGAAGAAAAACAATAACTTTTTTCAGGGTTTGACTAATTGAAGGAGAAGGAAAAGGTGCCTGGGTATGGATTGATTCAATCGATGGAGTAGGTTGGTGAAGACTGGAATGAGAGAAAGAGAGAGGGGGTGAGTCTGAGGAAAAAAGGAATAAATCTTTTTTTGATTTCCTGGGGAGAAGAGATTTTTTTTATTACAAATTTTGGGTACACAGTTGACACAAAAAAATTTTGGGTACGAAGTTGATGCGAAAAAAGCTTTAGGTAGTAAAGTCTAAAACTCGGGCCGGGTAGTAAAGTGAAATTTACCCATAATTTTAAGTTTGTAGAACTAAATACCATTGCAGCCGATCTTTTAAATTTACCTATCTTCCATCTAGTATCACTTAAACTTTGTTACTTAAGTTAAAGCAGCATTACTAGCAATGTGTCTGGCCCTCTATATGCATCATCCAATCACCCACGGATTACCAAAAAGAAGAGGGAGCAGGATACGAACAAATTAGAACATCTACTACAAACCAGCCTGCAGACTGCAAAGTACACAATATCCTGTCCACCTATATTATACTCTGGTACAGCCTAGTCCACAAGTAAATTTAACTTCAAAAAGTGTTTCGAGTTATGACTGACCATTATTCGTAATTTAAATAAGAAAGTTGAAAACATACAGAAACCCAATACTCCTACACGTAATAAACTTTGAATGAAAGAGCAGTACACCAATGCAGTGGAAAAGAGAATCTTCCGTGAACAAATATCAAGCCAGAAATGCAGGACAAGTCAAGAACAATGTACAGCAATTCTAATGTTTGATATAAATGACAAACCTTTTATAGATGCCAATAACAGAGGCCATGGGTGAGAGATTCAGCTGGAGGGAGCCATTCCATACACGTTCACCCTTTGGTGTGCCAAGAGGTCTAGATACTGATTTGTCAGGACTGCCACTGGATTTCACATCGGCACAAACGTTGCGGGATTTTGTATCAGCATGGTCGCTGGTTTTTATCACAGCATGACTGCCACTGGTTTTCAAGTCAGCATCCGACTTTGAATCTGTTGTATCAATTTCATCAAGCTTTTGTGGAGGGACATCAACAGTGTTTTTGGGACTCAGAACCGAAGGCTTTGATTCAGAGCCTGTCTCAGAATCATCCTTGTCTGAGATGGGTGTCACTTTCTCAGGTAAAATCTCGAATGGCGGCTCTGAATCCAGGGATTCCATGAACTCATCTAGGGAAACAATTGGAGGAAGATCCTTCAATCCATCATCCACCATAAGCCCTTGCATAAAATCAGTCGCTTCAGTAGAAGGAATAGTAAAGGTGCATTGAGTAGTCTTGTCTTCTGTAGTGCTCTTCTCACCTGAGGCATTCCCTTCGTCCTTGGGTTTATCAGGTTTCAAAGGGGTAGACACTTCCATCTCCTTGCTTCTTGGTAGGCTCTGAGCATGTGAAGATGTATCAACTGGAACCTCCACTGAAGCACTATCATATTGTTCAACTTCAACTTCACCCTTATGTGTTTTTTTCACTAAACGTCTCATATCAACTTCTGAATCTGGTAAAACAACCATTTGGGCAAGCTCTTCAGCCTTTGCCATTCGCCACTCAGAAAGCTCCTTTGAAGCAAGTTCCTCTGCTGTCATAGAACATAACCGTTCTGGAGGTATTTCTCCAGACATAACTCTCTCTCTTAGTTCTGGATTATTACGGTCTTTTAGATTGAACAAAAGGGACCTTCCCTTCTCTTTATACTTCTTATTCACACCTCCAAATAATTTGAAAAGTTCTGCTTCAATTCTAGAGGCCAACTCTTCTGGAGATTGAACTGCTTGTTCTTCTGGGCGTCTATCCATCTCCTCATGATCCAACTTCTGTTTTTCAGCAGGTTGAATGTCTTTTCTCTCTGTCATTTCCATCTCAGAATCCAATACCCAGGAGAGACCATTTCCCTGCAAAAGTTCATCTTTCACAAACAAGTTGTCATTAAATGAAACATCTTCATAACGCAGAATATTACTTGATTGGAATTCCTTGCCATCGCATATTGGTGTCAATGCAGAAGCACTTGTAGTTGCATCAGCCAAAATCATTTGGCCTGCACCTTCACCATCATCACTTTTCCTAATGGAACAAGTTTCACTGGAAGTGAAATTCTCCTTAGGCTCTTTAGAGTCAGTGTAAACAGCATCAGCGGCAGGTTGGGGATTCTCCTGTGTACTCCCCTGAATTCCTCCTGCCCCACCCTGAGACTTACTCCCTGAATCCACACATTTATCTTGCTGCTGATTAACCAACGCCAATGCAGCAGCTAAAGATTCCCTCATTTTGGACCTTACAGATTCAAATGATTCTTTTTGAATCTTGGGAGATGGTTGTGACTGCAGCATTTGAGTTTTTTGACTCGAAGACCGCTGTGACACAGACCTACCAGAAAAGGATTCCATCTTCACCATTTTCTTATTTGGGGCTAGCAAATGAGGTGATCCTGGAGCATTTTGCACAGATCCCCCGGATTCTATCTTTACCATTCTCTTATTTGGCGCTGGCAAATGAGGAGATAATGGGGCATTGTGCACAGATTCCATTTGTACAGATCTTCTGTTTGCTGCAGGCGCTTGCTGCAACCATGGTCTATGTTCCATATGTGCCACCCGCTTGTTTAGCATTGACAACTGATGTGTTGCTGGATTATCAGACATGAGTTCCGAAGGCGCCTTTCGCTTAACTGATCCCAACAACTGATGTGATTCCAAATTCTTAGGGAAGGATCCAATCTCTCCCAGATGATTGCTAGGTGATAAAAGTTTCTGTGGACCATGAGTCCCATTTGAATTGGCAATCTGTCCCATTTGCGAGTATGTCATCGATAAGCCATGCAACCTTGGATTATCAGGCACAGGTTCCAGCATCAGTCCCATTTGTTTGTTTGATATCGAAAGCTGCTGTGATTCGGAATTACTAGATACAGAATTCATCCCTCCCATTTGAATCTCTGGTACTATTGAATCCACATCTTTCATCATGGGTTCCAGCTGACCCATTTCCATGCTTGATATTAGCAACTGCGGTGACAGAAGGTTGATTGGCATGCTAGATTAGCAACATAGCTACCTAGAAATTTCCTGCTCCGTACAGTTCGCTCTTACCCTTTAAGAGGTGTCACTCAAAACAGAAAAACACAAACTGCAAAAGAAAAGCAAAAAAAAAAACTTATCAGAGCATGCTCTTCCTTTAACAACTAAAAACAATACGAAAACTCAGTTCGCAGCAATTTAGACAAAAACAATACAAAGGCAAATAAAGAAAGGAGTGCAAAGATCAACATAGGCAAAGAATTGCAAAGTATACTATCGTTAGGTGAATTTCAGCAGCAAAATCAGTGGGTTGAAAGTACAAATAAATTTTTATCAAGCAAAATTCTACTTAATTACAAATATAATTAGGGTTGCCGAACCCAAATAACCAAACCGCCTACCGACCGACGGCGGCTGGAATGGCTAAAAATTGGGAACCGCCACCGAACCGCAAAATCGGTTTCTGTAACGCCGTTGTGAAAGAGAGGAAGGCAGTGGCTGCCATGGGTGAGAGAATACCAGATCTGTGCGGTGGCAGAGAGAGCGGCGGCGAATCAACCTTCACGCAAACCAATATCCTCCTCGCGATGAAGCTCGCCGGCGTCGAGGTAGAGGAGTATGGTGTATGGGCAGTGGGAAGAGGAGGAGAAGAGGGAGAGAGATCGATACAGCGAGAAAGAGTAGAGGAAGAAGACGACTTGTGACCAAAAAAGGAAGAAGACGACCAAAATTTAATAAATAAATAAATAACCAAAGAGAGATAAAGAGAAGGATGAAGGGCGGCTAAAGAAAAGGGTGTTAGGGTTAAAAAGTGTTAGGGTAGGGTTTTATATAAAATAAAAAAAAACTTAATCCCAAAAACACCGTCAAAACAAAATAAATAATCTCTTGCAAAATTTCATGTACAGAAAATAAAACATTTTAAAATTTAGAAAAGAAGAAAAAGATAAAAACAAAACAAGCAACAAGCAGTTATCATCAAAAAAAGATTTATTTATTATAGTACCCCTGAAACTTAAGTCAAATCTCACTTTATTCCCTAGAGTTAAAATGGCTCACTTAACCCTTTGGACCGTGATTTTGTATTTCACTTTACCCCCCACCATTAATGTCATCCAAAAGATCGTCAAGAATTCTAATGTGATCATTTGGTGAGCATAGTTAGCGTCCTGTGTGGCAAAGTGGAACCCACATGCTTCTATAATCGAAATTAATAAAAATTCTTTACTTTTAAGTAGAGCTCATGTGTCTAATGACATTGTGCCACGTAGATTTGAATAAATTAAAAAATTAAAAATCTGCAACTTCCACCCTTCGCCCTCCCCCTCCATCTCTCTCTGTTCCTTCTCCCTCCCTCTCCCTCTGGTCTCTCTCTCATCTAAGAAGGTCTTCGGGTCCAAACCGGTGGGAGAACAAATGGATAAGCGGGTCGAACCCACATACCATATGTCAGTGTTCCTTCGTCTCTCCCAACCACTAAAACCCTTTCGTTTTCTCATAATATTTCACCTAAAGCTTCAATCTTTTGTGGGTAAATGAGATGTTGGACCAAAAGATCATAATGAAGCTCTTGCCCAACAAAAATGGAAGATCAGTACCCCAATTAGAAAAATAAAATAAAACAAAAGAGCTTCTTTTATAGAAATTGCAAATGGGTTCTCTGGCTCTCCATGTCCTCGTGCTTCTTCAACTCCTACCTCATCATCAATCACCCCAACAAGAACAACAACAAACCCACCTCCCTTTCCAAAACCCATTTCTCAAGTGTATCCACAAACAATAACATCACACAAAAACATGGTTAATAACCCAATTTCTTTAATAATAATATTTTTTTAAAAACCCATTTTTTTTCTTTTTCTAAGTTCTAGACTCAGATTGGGTTGATGTTGGTGACTAGGAACAAGCGTCTTTGACGGATTAGTTGTTGGATGATTTTTATTATCGAGAGAGAGGGGGAAGATTAGGGGAGAGAGGAGAGTAGGCTGGGCTGGGAGGGATGGTGGTGGCTATGTAGAGAAGATGGTTACTGCTATTTTTATTTTTATTTTAATCTAGGCTCTTATAAATATTTTTTTTTAATTATTTTAAAAGACTAAGAATATTTTATTATGTTGTGGACTCCATTTTGCCACATCATCCACTCAAATAGGTGGGTAAATAAGCCACAAATATGAAATTACTTAAACACCTTTGTCATGTCAACATTTTTTACGGTCTTTTGGATGGCGTTAATGGTGGGGGTAAAGTGGAACACAAAATCACGGTCAAGAGGGTTAAGTGGGCCACTTTAACTTTGGGAGGGTAAAGTGAGATTTGATTGAAGTTCAGGGGGTACTACAGTAAATAAGTCTTAAAAGGCCAAAAGACACTTTTTGTCCCTGTAATTTGGCACTTCAACCACTTTTGACACTATAGTTTCAATTCCGTCAATTTTGTCATTGCAATTTCGTATTGTAGCAAATCAATGACATGTTAGTATTCTTATCAATTTCTTTAACGATGCAAGGGGCAATTTCGTTAACCCAAAACCCTTGAGCATAAAAACTTGTCTGAAATTCTTCCCATTTCATATTAGGGCTCAAAATTCAACCACTAATCCCAATTTTTGAAGAACCCTAAACCCAAATGACCAATTTCAAGCCCTAATATGAAATGAGGGGAGTTTCAAACGAGCTTGTCTTTGAATTGCTATAAATACGAAATTACAGGGTCAAAATTGACGAAATTGAAACTACAGGGTCAAAAGTGATTGAAGTGTCAAACTATATTGACCAAAAGTGACTTTTAGCCGAATAAAAAAACCCAATTGCTCTATCTTTGTGTGAGTCCTTAAGGAAAACTCCATACAGGAGAGGAGGAAGAAGCATTATTGTCCCTCATCCCCCTCATCTCTTCTCGTCTTTTCCTTTTAATTTAGTGAATAAGTCCACTATGGTCTTCTGGATAAAAAGCCTCTTGTGGTGATTTCTTCTGAGCTATGCTTAGATTGAAGCTCCCCACCACCATTTTTAATTTATGTTCTCAATCAAATTCTTCTCCCAAAACCTGCTCTCTAATGCTACTCATGTCCTCTAAATTTGATTCTACATTGTCTTTGACGGAGGTTATTGCAAATCACCCAATTGTTATTTGGCATGGTTGTTGTTTTCGTTTATTTGTTCTCTATTATGCATAGGTAGATCGTTGAAATCATATTTTCTCCATATTTGTTAGTGGGTGTGGCCGAGATGATGCTTCTTCAGGTCGTGGTGGTAAGGTTCGTTTAGGCTCATGAGTTGTTTTAGGGTTTCGGTTATGATGGGTTTGTGGGCTTTGTTTAGGCTTGTGGTTAATTATGGTGATGTGGGTGTGGGAACACATATTTTGCAAGCCAATAAAAAGACGACACGTGGAAAAGAAATCCTTTGTAATTCGGGAAATTATCTTTGATTTAAGATAGGAATATCTCCCTAAATCAAGGAACCGATGTCTACCAAATCTCTTGGATTAATTCCTATCATATTTTTAGGAAAAAATAATCCTAACCAAAGAAAGATTATTCTCCCAAACACCCTAGCAAACAGAGAGCCTATAAATACATGGCTACACAAGGCATTCAAGGTAATTCCAAAAACCCTAGAGAAATCACTCACTCACTCACTCTCTTTCTCTCTCTCTCTCTCTCTCTCTCTCTCTCACCACACGGCTAAGGCCACTCGGCTCTCCCCGTGGTAGAAAACCTCATCCACTTTAACTATTGTCGTATCTTTTTCAACGTCCAATTGAACTAACTTAGACATTATAGGGCTTTTGGCCAACACCCCCCAGGTGTGGTATATTTACTCATATTTATTTCGCAAGGATCGAGAAAGAGAGAGAAGGAAGATTCGAAGATCAATGAATCAACTTGTGAATATTCCTCGTGCGGAAATTTGCTCAAACATATTTGGTGCTTTCATTGAGAGCAAGAGTTATACTCAGCGCGTGTTCTTGAATCAAAGGAATATGTTTCCTCCAATTCATCACTCAACCGAAGCCTTCCAAACAACCATAGTTGGAAGCATGTACAAGAAGTCGGCTGGCCTCGACGAAGAAATCCTTGACGAGCCAAGGCATCACATTTGGCAATCCCGAGACTGAGACCGTGGCTCCACCTCCTTGCCCCTAGTCATGAGCACTGGTCCTCCTTCCATGGCCGGAGCCGCACCCCTTCTCCATGGTACCGTGGCCATAAGCACAACTCCACCTCGCGTCATAAGGGCTAAAACCGAGCAACAACAGCAAAGGTCCAACAACCATCCGCTCGACCCCACAATCGAAACAAGGGAACATCCTCGCAGCCCCACGGTTGGATCTGATGCATATCACCAAGGTGGTACCTCCAATCACGGCCATCTTGGGGCCACCACCAATTTTGGTTTCTTTTTGGAACAACTACAACCATTCCATTATTTGCCACCACATTCAACGTTTGCTCTCATGTTCATCTCAAATGACACCCTAGCCCGTGTGCAGTTCGGCTCCACACAATTCTCTCCTCCATATTCAATCAATCAAGCAAACCCAGCCTTAGAGTAGACTAGCTAGCTCAAAGAATAGATTACCAAAATATTTCTCCTCAACATTTTATACTCGTAATTTGTCAACTAAGACTCAAACCAACTCAAGGAACCTTAAAACCTAGAAGTCAAAGTTCACCGAGAATCAAAGGTAACAATTTGCCAAACGTACCTGAAACGTCTAACAAGGTCACCCACGTTGAAGAGGTCTCACTTTGTAAAGGAACACACTACACTACCCAATATTAGGGATGCACAAAAGGTGCGAAGTTTACAGGAAATTAAACCTAGTGCTCTGATAACAAGTTGAGAGGATCTGACTCAAATTCCCCCTCGAAATCTGTGTCAAACCCTGTTGCCTGTTCGCAGTCCAACCAATGACGGACTCACCTACTATTTTACCCTTCCCTGCATTTAAAAAGATAAAAGGGTCAAGACGTTTATCGAAATTTCGGCAGAGTCTCCCCAGAAAAACGGACATTTATCAAATCATTTTCACATGTAAATATCACAGTTTAATATTTCCAAACTTCAGCATGCACAATGCTAATACACACAATTTACTAGATAGGCCTCCAGCCTCAAATTTAACCTTACCATGACAATATTAACGTAATCTACGAATTTATTTCTTACTTTATGAATAGCCACAAAAATCCAAAGCATAACTCATCCGTTTATTTTGCGGCTGCACCTAGGTTAACCTAGGTTGCCTATGTACCCATACTGAGGGATCATGCCACACGTAATTCTTTCCCTGAAAAATAATGATTCCTAAAATATAATATAATGTTGAAACAATCTTACGTTTATAACTTGACTCTTAAATTCTTTAATTTATTATTATAACACAAACCAAATCCAAAACCCATAACTTTTAAATCAAACCTTTAGCTGAGACCATACCTGTAACCATCCACATAGAGCATATCTTGTTATCACCCACCAAGGGGTATATGGAACATATAGCTTCATCCGAAGGCAACCGATATATTTTTCGAGGGCAACAATATAATTTCATCTGAAGGCAACAATATAATTTCCGAAGCCAACCAATATATATTTTCCGAAGGCAACCACATAATTTTCAAAGGCAACCAATGCAGGTACATGCAAATCACTGGTCGGACACCGATAGAGTAATCTCCACGTAGATACACCCACTATTTCCACTAGTCGGACACCCACACAAGCGGATACAAGCAACCACTGGACGGACACCTGCATAGTAAACACAGGTACATGCAATATACTGGCTGGACACCTATAGA